AAATATAGACAAATTTCGAATGCTGTATCTAACTTCAATAATCATCTTAAAAATTATTTATTCCAAAAAAAAATTAATAAATAACATGAAGTATAACATATAAATTCAATTTAATAATAAACAAAAATTCTCAAAATTTCACACAAAGAAATCATTACAGTTAAATTTTAATGATGCTGCATGACAGATATTGTGCAAAATTTGTCTTGAAGGATTAAAGGTTAAGATTCATTTATGTGAATGAATGTTTAAATTAGTTGAAAAATAAATAAGAGATAAAATGCACTTCATGTCTTTTTTGCAAGTGACATCAATCCTCCACTCAATCAGCAAAAATTACACTTCACCAATAACATATTCTAAGACACAGAACGTTCACTCATTTTACAAGATTTTACTTTGCATTGAAGTAATCACACAAGGATGTTTTCTCTTTTAATTAGTATAAATACTTTTCAATGATGACCATGATACTTCAGCACTTTAAATTTAATGAAGTAACATAAGGTGCACATGTGTGGAAATAATTTTTTTTAAGAACACACTTCAGGAATTTTTAATTGAGTGTGTGTGTACTGAAAAATTGGGACAAATATGATTTATTTTAATAAGAATAACAAATTGAAAAAACACAATGAAAATTCATAATAGTATATTGATTAAAAGTTTTAAACCATAAAAAATTAACTAAGTTTCTCAAAAAAGCAAAATAATTTTGGCATATTGAATTTGCTTACGAATATGACACTCTTTGTAAACATAATTTAATTAAGAAATACATAAATAATATTTCTTCTAAAAGATCAAGAAAGAAGTTATTACCAGTCAATATTTGAAGCATTAAGAGGTCCACTGATCATCAATGCTGCTACCTCAACTGCTTTCACACCCAAATATAAAAGACCTTGTGCAGCATCCATAGCAAAAGGACACTCTCTAAGAGTATACACATATATATTATAGATAATGAATAGTGTTGTTTGTACTTAGTCTAGAAAATTATGCAAAGTATATAGAACATGAATCACAATTAGAAATACTTTTAAAAAGGTAACTAAAATTTTTCTGTATTATTGTAAGATTTCTTTCTTTCTTTTTGAGTTTTTCAAACAGGAGAAAAAGTGTGCAGACAAAGAACACAATTTATTTTGAGAAAAGAAAAAGAAAAAAAAAGTTACTTTGGAATCTAGTCTAAAGACACTGAACATAGATGCATTAATGATGGTATTTTAATCGCAACAAAAACTACTACATTAAACCTAATAACCATATTTTCCAAGTTTCATGTTCAATTTGTCAATATTCTTGTTTACATCATTTTATTCAATATGCAAGAAGCAATTAAAAAATATTTAATATTTGAAAACCTTAAAAATATATGAAACATTAAACACTAAGGAAAACACAAACAAATGCATTTAATTTGCTTATTTACAGTAAGTTAATCAAAGGCAGAAAAATTCATTGGATGGAGGAAATTGAGCACAATACTAATGGTTATTGCAATTACAGGTTCAATTACAATTTTTAGTGCTAGTAATATAAATTAATGTTACTCAAATTTTATTAGTCCTCATTTTAAATTTTATTAATCTTGTAAATATTAATGAACCTTTTTATACTATTTTTTATTTTTTTCACAAAAATGTGTTGAGAATATTAGGTGCAACTCAGAATCAAATAAATACGGTAATAAAATTCATCAGTTAAAGTAAAAATAAATATTATAATCTACAAAAATATTATTTAACTTTTTAATGGAAATCTTAATAAACATTTAATTTTAACACATGGAAGAATAATGCAAGAAATGTATATAAACAAGAATCAAAATGTGTAAATTTATTTTTATTATAGTAAGGGAATTTCAACATATACCTTAAAACTTCCTTATAGCAAGTGATTGCAACTCTGTCATTCCCATTAAGAAGATGATTAACCTTTGCCAATGCCATGTTTATACATGCATTTCTTTGTTTTGCTGGAATACTGTCCAACTACATAAAAATATAAGCATTGAGAACTTTCAGAATTGGCAATTAAATTATTTATATTTTACAGTTATGTAAATAAATTTTATTGCTGGAAAATAAATACTTTTTGATCATCCATTCCCTTACTTTAAGCGTTCAAAATGTGAATAAGTGAGTGAATACAGGACTTAATGTCGCAAGTTAAGTGTTCAGAAGCATTGGAGCATTTCTGATGATTTTACAGCAGTGATCTCCAACCCCCAGGCTGACACTGTTTTGTGGATCAAATGGTACTGGGCCTTCCAAGGAACATATTATTTGAATTTTATTTACTGTGGTATGCATTTCTAAAGGGTTTATGTGACTTTTCATGGAAATCACTTTATATTCCATGTTAAATCACGATATATTGATTATTTTGGTGTAACTGTATTTTTATTCTGCAGGTATATTTAAATTCAAATTAATTAAATCAAAACAATCTAAAGTCTAAACAGTTAGCATCCCTCCCCTCAGTGGACCACAGTAAATTATCAAACGCTGACTGGTCTGTGGGGATAAAAAGATTGGGAACCTATGTTTTAGAGTATGCATAACAACTAGATCATGCATGTATATAGCATATATTAGGAATAATATGCATTTCTTTCACTGCTAATATTAATGATACATGTACAAGTTCTGCTCATATATTTAGCAACATGCTAAAACTGGACTTGCCCTTTTGGAAAGCTAAAGACAAGTGCAGAGACCATTTGGTCTCTTGTTCTGGACTTGGTGACATAGCAGCGGCTTATACAGTTTAAAATCAGTGTAAATTTTATTGTGTTTCTGAGCTACTCATCATAGACTGATGGCAGTAATGCCTAGGTCTGGCAAAGGATTTTAAAAAAAAGCTTTCTGCATTATGTTTCTTGTTATTCTACTAATTTAATGTCATTGTAGACTGACATTAAGATAGATTTATTTTAAAGTGATACAATTGCAGTCCCCAGTGGAATTAATATAATTTTTGTTTAATTTACTTTACCTCTATGTAATTTCTTTTTTCCCCAAAAAAACATTTCTTTGTTTTAATGAATTGGAATAGACCTATCAACTAATGAGAAAGAAACCACTGGATATTTCCAGATATATAGCAGTTGGCTAAACAAAAAAATTTACATACTGTGAAGCTTTACTTCCTAAGCCAATTTTTGTAGAAATACAATGACACAAAGTTCATAATAGTGTTAGAATGTGAAGGTCAGAAACTGATCTGAAGATAATCATATACTTTTCATGACATTTACTTTTGAGAAAAAATATATATGGGAAAAATTTTCTGAAGAATTGTTACTTGCTAACAAGTATAATTACCTTTAATTCACAGCCCAACTTGATTTGATATTTCACAAAACAAAGACAAAATGAAATTTTTTAAAAAAATATTACTAATGTAATTATTTATAACAACTTTTTTCAGAAAAAGTTTAATAATGTAATTATATTAAAACGAATAAACAATCAATAACAGTTGAATATGTCCTAAAATTACCATTTTAAAATTAAATCAAAACAAAAATAAATCAAAATTTAAAAAAAAAAGAAATCTGCATACAAACTTTATTAAACTTTAATTAAAATTTTTAAAACTGCAATATTATTAAACTTTATTCAGCCTTTCCTTAAAAAGGAAAATTCATAACCATTAAGGAATGTCAAAATTTATTAGAATTTCTTGTTTAGTTTCAAGTATTAGGAGAAACTAAGAAAATGTAAGGATTTTCCATCCCTCCCCTTGATTGCATTTTGCAAATTATTAAAACAAGAAATTATTAATACATTTTTGTTTTTACCCTTTTAAAGTCATTGCTAGGTGAAATCATTACACAGAAATATGATTAAAAACATTCGGAATGCATAAACTATTCTACATCAGCTAAACAAATGTAAACTTGCACATCCTTAAAAAATACTATATTACATAATAGATATAAATTAATTGATATAATGATACTTACTATAGTAGCAGCTTGTGAATATTGTCTCAACTGGACAAGACATAAGTGCATTTTATACTTAACGTCAACTTCAGAAGTGGCTTCCTAAAAATTTAAAAAAATCAAGATTTAATAATGTATATTTACTTATCCAGATGTATTGAAGTTATTATTTGCAAAAATATACAAGTCCGTGTGTCGGAATATGGAAAAATTTCACTCTAAAAGTTAAATAAGCATACTTCCAGTAGTGTCAATGACTTTTCGAGTAGTGTCGGGAGGATAAAAATATCTAGAGCAGGGGTTGGCAAACTTGTAGCAGTAGTGTGCCAAACCAATCTACTAATACAATTCAGGGTGTCCCACAGTAGGAAAGAATTGAAACAATTTGATCCCCACAGCAATGTATGCAGAGTTACGGAATAGAGGTCAAGAATACAGGTCTAGAGTTTTGTTTTATATGTATTAACTATGCATCACATTTAAAGATATTTATATATTAACATATAAGAAACATTAAATCTAACTATTTTTTCAGCATAAATAAAAAAGATAAAAGAGTGCATTTAATTTGCATTATGTAACTTTTAAATAAATTTATTAAAATAAGAAATAAACAACATAATATGTAAGTATTCCTTTAATATAAATTTTTTAAAAAATTTAATGCAAATCTTGTTTTAGCACCCCTCTGCTCCATATTGTTATAATATGTGACTTTCAATTTAAAGCAATTCTGAACAACCAGTAATATACAAATTCTTTGCGGGTTCAAAATATTTTTCAATTCCTACTATTACTTCCCACTCTCCCTATATATATTTATTTATATATACATATATATATCTTGATCAAATTTTCAATCATTAATAAAATACTTTTTATTCATCCACTCAAGTTCAAATACATTTTTTAAAACTTGTAGTGGATGACACTTGATGTTAACACATTTCTTTCAAATATTAATTCATTAAAAAATGAATAAATAGTAACAAACAAATATAATAGTTCAACACCATATTTAAAAAGGAAAAATGCTCATTGTGTTCCTGTAGAGCAACAAATAGCATGTTGGATTTCTAATCCAAAGGTCGTGGGTTCAAATTACACCTGGGATGACGTAATTTCTTAGAATGTGATTTCATTTTACTATACTATTTTATTGGAATAATTAAATTTAATAAATAGTAACAAACAAAAATAATAGTCTAACACCATATGTGGAAAGGAAAATGGAAAATAGCAAGGGAAATCGCTTTCTATATTGCGATTCTGTCATATGTATAGACATATTTATATTAATTGTAATTATTTAATAAAAAATAACAAATAAAATTTTTCTTTGTTGACCTAAGTAGGAATTGACTTTTTTTGTGTGTTACTTGTTTCTATTAGAACAGATTTATTCACATAAATATGTGGAACCAAAAACAGAAAGCATGTATATGCAACTTTCTCTTTAAACACAAATTTCTCCAGCAATGACATCCAACAAAAAGCTGCTGATTTATCTCGCTAGTCATCTCCCAAGTTTTTTTTGTAATTTCATAAAGTTTACTTTCCATAATTCTGAAGATGTTAATTCAACAAGTTCCATTTCAAAATTATTAAATTCCCTCCACTCTCAAATTGAGAAATTTGTAGAGTGCCACTGACAATTGTATCGCATGCCATAGATTGCTGATGCCTGACCTAGAAAGTACCAGAAATTCTTCAACTAAATTTGAATTAATAAGAGGTTATGCTTGATAATCTTAGAGCTTATAGATTCCTGAGATACACATTACCATTAAGATCGTTTCTTGGAAAAAATATATGCTTATGAATATCAATTAAGGACTACATAGTTCTTTAAAAATATATCTACCTATAATACATAACAATTTTAGTTTAGAGACTCACTATTATTTCACATACTACATTTAACTGATTATAAAAACATATCAAGAATGTAGATATAATCAGACAACTTGTCAGAATAAAAAATGTACTATATAATTATATATAAAAGTCTATTTGTGATTACTATTACAAAACAATATAGCATAGCATACCCCTGGAGGAAATGGTTGTGCTTTTCCTTTGGTTTTTGCTAAAGATTTCCTAAATTGCAGAGCTTTCTTAAACATAGCCTGAAATGTATTAACATGATTGAATTATTTTAAGTACAAAAAGAAATGCAACAAATAAAAAAATTTTTATCATTATATCAATTGTATATTATACAGACAATAAAACTGTAAGATTGTTACATAAAAGCAGTTTTTAAAAAGAAATCTTATTTAAAAAAATAGCCCCCTTAAAAATTAATCCCCTTCACTAACCATACTATATATATACACCATACCATATTAATCATACCAATTATAAACCACACTTTTACAAAAATGGGTTCCAATAAGGAATGTATCCACAGATTTAAACTAATCCTACAGCTGTTGTATCACTCTGGGAGACATCTAGTAACATAAGCTTGTGAAAACCCTGGTTCTATCCATCCAATCCTCACTCCATTAATAAATCAGGCAAATGACTTCTAGAGATTTCTAGATACTATTAACACACACAAAATTACCCAAAATTAATCATGAACCAAATGTATACATGCAATGTTGCAAAAGTTTAATTTTTGCTCATTTTCCCTCTCTTTTATACAAGTGTCGATTTCTTTAAAATAAAAATGTTGGCTATTAGTTTTTACATAAGTTTTCTTAAAGAATGTTATTATCCTTCACATAAACTATGAAGATTATTCTTTTTGTCTTTTTTTTAATGGCGAGTTTCAAACAAGTACCTTAACTTTTGAAGTCCAGTATATAACACTAATCGTAATACTAACACATAATACTGAAGAAAGTCTTTTTATTTTATACCAATTTAAGAGATGCGATAAACTTAACTTAGTGGCGCAACAGCCCATGAGGGCCAAGGCCTACTGTGCCCATCTCAGTATATGTGACCTTGGGCTCTAAGGTGCATGAGTAGATGTTCCAGTCAGGTGGTCAGTCTGGCAAGAAATCCCCAGTGTTAAGTTCACAAACAAGCTTGGTACTCATTTATAGATTCCCTGAAGGGATGAAAGGCTGAGTTGACCTTGCCCAGTCAGGGGTTTGAACCCCGGACCTGTGGTGTGGAAGTCCAGTGCACTACCACTCAGCCACTGGGCTTTAAAAGATAATCAAACAAAAACCAATGCTCAGCTCAGATAGTATTTTGGAAGGATGTATAATATGCAACTCGAAAGTTATTGGACAATGCTTTGAAATATATTTTGAACACTATTTTGAAGAAATAAAAGCTGTCAAACTCATAAGCTATTATGGGCCACATGGTCTATTTTATTATATAAGTTGGAGTCTGCATGTTTTCAATATTCAAAAAATCAATAAAATATGATTATTATAATGTATATTTTGCATTTATTAGACTCAATATATTGTATATTAAATATACCTAGTCATTTTATATTTCATGTTATTTTTTAAACTTAAAATAAAAATATTTTACATTCTTTATAAAAAAAAATTATTGTAAGAAATTTAATTTGACATTGTTTTTTTCCCACAAAAGTAAGTCATCAAGTTTTGGTTGAAAATATTGAACTGATGCAATTTTTAAAATGGACGATAAATGCTGATCAGTTTATCTTGACCTTTCTGAATTTTCGCTACATTTCATTAAAGAAAATAATTGCCAGCATAAATAAGTGCTTCCAAACATGTGCATTATTCTCAAGACAAATGATAAATTTTAGAAAACCGACCTACTTAGAAATATTTTTAAAAAGTGTAGAATTCCAACTTTAATAGATTTTTGCTTCAACAAAGAATCACATTGGATTTCAAATGATTTCACATGCAAGCTTTCATCAACAGTTTCAATATCGATAGACAGAGGTCAGGTAAAAGTGTGAAATTGTAAGTCACAGCTTTGAAAATCAGAAAATCCTTGATCTATAGTCTCATTTCTAACAATTTAATTTAGAGAGCACCTTCCATAAATTTTAATTTACGGGATTTAATCAATAGATACTGAAAGCTTTCTAAGTGGGACAAGTTTTCTTTTTTTTATTTATTTTCGCCAAAGTAATAATTTTTAATAGTATCAAAAAGAGATGTAACAATATTATTTTCACCTAGAAGTTTAAAATTAAGTTGATTAAGATGATTTGTAAGATCAACTGAAAAAGCCAGATCCTTTATCCATTGCCCATCTTTTAATTCAGCACATTCATAATTTTTTCCAGAAGCTTGTAATTTCATCCAGAAATTTAAAGAATCGTTTTAACACTTGATGATTTGAAAGCCATTGAACTTCCATATAATATGGTAGATCATTGTATTCCCATTCTTTATCTTTCAGAAAGGAAGCAAATTGACGATTATTAAGTCTATACTCTTGGATATAATTTTTATATTATACTCCCTTTTATTTCCTTGCTAGGATCTTTTTTCTGCAAGGCCATTTCAACTGCATCCTAAATTTATTTTTGTAGATTTTCAATAGCAAAAATGTGTCAAGCAGCTCTTGCTAACTGATACATTTTAATTTCAGTTGATAAAAAGGCATAAAACAGAATAATATTTCTTTTAATTATTTTTCACTACAGCAGTAAAAAAAAAAAATTTTTTAAATTTAGAATTTTGTTTTATTTTTTTTATAGAGGATCAAACACTAATATTAACTTCTTGTGATTTTTTTTATCCTGATTTGACAGCTTAGAATTAAAACTAGAATCACAAATTAATATATGATGAAAACCCTTGCACCCTTCACAAGATTATTTCCTTTTCCAACAAAATTCGCTCAAACGTCGTTTGGCAAAACAATTCTCACAAAAATCTCCATTTTTTAAAACTTTTTTCAACCATCTACCAGTTAAAAGGCAATCTGAGTTATACACTTCAAAATGGAATATGCAGCTATTTCTGGTCATTTTTAAAAGCATAGCAGTTATTGAAAAATTTTGCTCAGGAGAAAAATTACACTTAGGTTTGTTAAAATTAATTTTGAAACTATCATAATTATTACCAGGCTTTTTAACCACCATTTCATGTTCACACAGGCTTTTATTACTCAAGAAATAAGATATTTCATAACAGTGAATCTATCTTTTCTTAAGAGAATTGCAATTAAATCTTTTTAAATAAATGGTTCATCATCTTTATTAAAATATTCTTTATGTCGTCTCCCGCATAACATGTTTATTTCTTTGGAAATTCTTCTTAATAAAATAGGGTAAAGAATATTAATCTAAATATATGGAGCAATTCTTAGAGACTTGTACTTCTACAGTATCATGCAATTTTCTAAGAGCTATCAAATTAGGATTTTACAGGTTCGACTTGAATTAATTTGTTCATATGAGAACTAATTATTTAATCTTACCATCCAAATCCCCATTCAATATAAGGGTAAATATTCCAAAAACTTACCCAAAAAACATTATCATGAAATCTGGCAAATAATGTGACTTTTAACACAAAAAATAAGGTTGAAATTAATTGGTGCGTGTAATAGGCTGGGTATGGATATGAGAGCTTTAAAAATAAATTATAGTTTTAAAAAACACCCTTTTATAGTTAATTGAACTAATTTGTAACTCAATCTTTTAGTCCTCAAATCTGGAATTAGGTGCCAAATCTGGAAAATGGGATCTGAAATTAGTCGCCAGATGCAGGATTGGATCTGAAAAAGGGAAATCGTTTATCCTGATGATCCTGATCAGACAATGAAACAAAATTATTAAATTACTGTATTGTCATTGGTCTGGGACAAGTGAGCAAAATTTTGAATTAATTTTAAAGTGGGTAAAAACTGAGTTCAAAGATTCAGTTACATACAAGTGAAGCTTATAAAAGGGTGTTAAAAAAGAGGAGGTTAAAAAAAATTAGATCTCCACATCTATCAAAACACTATATATTTAAAAGAAATGACATTCTTTATGAGTTTAAAGGGTTGCAGTTCTAGAACTACACTATTTTTTCTAAAACTTAGTATTATACATCGAATAAATAACTTCAAAACATAAGATCAATGCACATGTACATTTCAGGTTTCATCTTAAAAAAGGGGTGCATGTTATACAGTGAATACACCTAAAAATAAAAAAACTGCA